GCCCAAAACATATATGATATTACCACATTGCCCGACCCGGATATGGCTTGGTGATGCTCTCATGCAACTGCCTCAGTGCTTCCTGCCTGCCTGGATAAGCTCCTTGATATCCAAGCAGAGCTATGCCACTGGAACATTTGCATGTGTGACCTCACCAACTTGCCGGTAGACCCAGTGGGTGCAATTGTCGGGAAGTTGATTGGCAAGATGGTATGTGACATGGCTGCTTGGGCTAAGGCTTAATTGACGTTTCTTGTAGTTGCGATTACTAATCTCTCAGTTTCAACCCTCAAGTGAGTTTGTTTAGAAGCTCTTCATGCCCGTAGGTTTTCGAAACGCCCAAATCCGATGAGAATTCGGGTGAAGATGTGGCCCTGTGAAGTTGTAATACTTAGGGCTAAAGGTGGAGAGGGCTAGTACTTAAGTCTAGAGGGAAACGGGTCAGTCGTGGGTGACTGAGGGACGGTGATATGGTGCCTGGACATGCACTTGAGTTGTCTTGTCATGATGCGGCTGCGATGGACCCGCGATCGAGTATCGCGCATGCAATACGTGCCCGCGCATGCTGTGAATTTGTATAACACTCTTTGGTCCATCCTTTGGCCTCCTGCAAGCCAATGAACCACCGCCTTGTTGCGCCACCACTGCTCGCCAGTAGCAAGCCCTGGGGATCGATCCCCATTGAGCATTGGGCCCACCACGCGACAACACAATCGACTGCCCCGGATATGCCCACCGCCTGAGGTAGAGAGGCTGGCCAACCTCCAACAGCCGTGCTACAGAGCAAGGCAACCCCAATACCTCTGGAAAGTAGCAGCTGCCAATTGGGTCGCAATATAGTAGCTGGATTGAGTTTCACTTGACCTTGCTACTTGTTTTGGGCCTCTGAATATCAGCATTTGGACCCATACTTTGTAGGCGGTTTTTCCAAGGTGGCTGGCTCTGGGTGGCACTGCTACCTTTGGGCCATTGGGCTTCGATGGGTTGTCTTTTGTTTTGTTTCTGGGGTTGGTGTCTGTGTTGCTCTTTTGTAGTTTTTCTAATATTCCCACTTTTTGGGGTTTTTTATTTGATTTTGTTTGTTGTTATATCTCTTGGTGATTTCCATGTGGGTCTACTTAGCTTGAACACCGTAGATGATTATTGCGCTTGATATGTGGACTCACAATGTGCTCTCTTGTTTTGTGCCTTGTGTTGTTCCGGGACTCCCTCCTATAGCGCCTACAATATTGGTGGAAAAGGAGGGGTTTTGCCTCGTTTATTTGTAATGCCATCTTACCCACCCCACCCCACCCCACCACCTCTAGCATCAATCCTTATGTCGAAGTCAAGATGACTCAACAGCATTATCTAACAATGGTATACAACTTCAAGGTGATTTTAAGGAATAAGCAATCAAAGTTGTGCTGATTTCAGTGGGCCTAAAAAATTGGTTTCTCAATGCCATTATAAGTGAGGCAGCAAGCCTGAATGGTAGCAAATTGATCCATTCTAAGGAATTCTTTGTAGATCAAACACTTGCAAGAGCCTTAGGAATATGTTATGTACTCTTTACCACTTATCAGTGGCGCTTTTGGGCACCTTCCCTCCTTGTGTCGGTTTTCGGCAACTACATAATCTCTTAGTGTCATAGTTCCCCCACCCCTTAATGTCAATTTGACGCTAAGCATACCAAAATCGATATAGTGTCTTAAAGACACTATATCAGACACTGTCTTTCCTTAGCGTCTGACAGATGCTAAGTTCAGTCCCACGCCCTTGGCATTAATCCTTATTTTAATACCTTTCGCGGTTCCTAACCACAGTGCATTGCAACACCGTTGTTATTCACGTTTGCGGCACCATTTTGGGTTCACATTTTATGCGTTCAAATGTGTAAGTAAGGGAACTACTTTTTTTTGGTCATGTTTAAAAATATTCACGGCTCGCTGAGTTGGCGGCGCCGACACACCCAGGTTACATGATGATGTCCCAAGCAATGACCAATCCTCCGCCCCCTCGAGCACCCACAACACAACGTCCCCCATCCCCGCCGCAAAGGAAACGATGTTGTCAAAGAAAAGTTCATCTTCCGCCCACCGCAGCACGTCTGGCTGCCACTCCCCGGACTCCTTGAGTCTATGTGTACTGTCTCCATATACACAAGGCCCATTTTGCGTAGATTTTTTATCAGTTTACGTGTAAAACGTAAAAGTTACTGTTGCCCTTGTAAATACATGCGAATACGCGAGTATTTATGCCATAATAACAAGCATGCATTGCAGCAATAACACACGACATCACCGTTGCTGCCTTGCGACAGCCCCTCAAAGCATAAGGGTCGGCGCAATATGTAATCACCTCTTTAGACTTGCTTCATTTGCGCTATTGTTGGATTTGCCCACAAGGTCGACAGTGGTGCCCAAGCTGCACGAAAGAGCTGGGTGAGGTCTTTATTTCGCAGCATGGAATGGACACCTCGTTTCAACGGCGTTTATTCCTTTCCCCTCCACCCTTTTGAATTCCACTCTTTGAATTCGTAGATTGGAATGGCAATCATGCAAGGCCGCCAAGCAATCTGAGCGGCAGCCCATCAAACAATTCGAATTGTCTTTGGCGAAAGATAGCGAACCGCACCGCGAAGCTTCAAAACACGTCGCCAAACACCTGTCGACAAACGGCGTCCCCAACTGCGCTGTGCCCCATAGGAAGGCGTCCAAGACTCCTCGCCAAATTCCCCGACCCCATGGTGGCGCGCTCTGGACAGCAGCGTCCCCCATTAGAGAAGTCTGCAAAGTGCGCGCCGTGTCAGGAAGTTCGGTATCTCGACAAGGGGAGCCTGGGTGTAGGCTGCCGCAGGTTGTCTTGCACATGGCTCGAACGGGCGCAAGAAGACCTGCGGTAGCCCCACGCTCCCCTTGTCAAGGCGCCGAGCTCTCTGACTTGTCTTGTGCGTGGCTCGAAACAGGCACATGACAAACTGTGGGCCCCTGCTCCAGGCCCTCCCGGCGAGAATCCGCGTTGGGGACACACACACAGCAGCCAGGGTGCCTGGATCCAAGGCGCCAGAACACGGTGTTCTGTTGGGTGTTATAAGTGCGGCTGTGGTGGACCACCACCACTGGGGGTGGCTTGGCAGGCTGTCGCTTTATGCTTGGAATTGCAATCAATGGGTGAAGGCGGTTTGATGATACCGAATTTGAGATTTGCGCATTCTGATGCAGAACAAGATGGTGGTTGGACTATGTCAATACCTTGGTTTATGATCGAACGAATTGTGGACAATACTTTGCATGGGCGAGATGGGGAACTGATGACTACCTCCTTGCTCCAATGTGTAAGATTTTGTTGACGGTGATGATGACGTGATTTCGCCACTGATGTTGAGTGTGCTGTGATTGTATTATGGTGCTACATCATCACTCTTGTATGCTTCGCGTTTCAATTTTCAAATTTCGATGGCCTGCCGTCCGCAATCCTGCAGTCCGATGTTGTTCACATGTCGAGGTTATTCTCAGGCGTCGCTCATCAGCGATGCTACAGCAATACTGCACGAAGCGGTCGCCGACAAGGTTGCTTCCAAGTAGTACATACATACGCCAAATCTAAACGTTGAAATTGGAGCTTGAAGCTATCGTCCAGTGCATTCAACGATGTAAAATTCACAATTTGAATTTGTTTGTCGCCTTGATTGGAAACCGTTTGAGACCCGTCACTACCCCACAGTTCCTTTTTGTGCCGTGTGCACATTCCATGTCTATATCCACCACATCAAGAACGAACCACAACCTCCACAACAGGCTGGGGCCCACGGAGGGTCGCCCGCCTTTATGAAGGCACATCAATGCAGAATGCAACATGCGTCGGTAGTGAAAAATTCGAGAAACCCAAATATTTCCAGGCTGTGTAAGCAATGGCACAGCTATGAGGCAGTTTGGGGTTTCAGTTCTATCGTGTGAAGTCAGGTGCGGTCATTTTCTGTTGTGAGGGACAAACAGTGACGAGTTTTCCTTCACGTTCTTTGGACACCCCCGGAGTGCTTGTTGGCGGTTCTCATGCATGCTTACGGCTTATGATTTCATTTCCCATTCTTGCCATTGGCAGCCGTATAACACTGCAAAGCGAAAAGGGGCTCAACTTATCCTTGCTAGACCCAGGATGCTCTTTTGTATGCCGTGGCTTCTTAGGTGTTTAAAACTCACCTTGGCACATGCACAGCCAAAAAAATAATTGGACATTGAAGCACGACTTCTAAAATACATCTTCACAAACAATCCAGAAGGCAGAAAACTGTGCCTCCACCACACCAAAAGCAACGTTGGAGCAGTTTGGAGGCCACCCAAGTGATGCTCACCACAATCATAAAATTCACACGTTTCATTAGCAATTGTTATTGTCAGGTTAACCAAACGCTCTGGCGCGCTCACACACGGTCGCTCCCAGGCACGGGAAGCGAGGCCGCAACCAGATGCATTACAAGATGGGTGTATCGACTAAATAACAATCACTGCAATAATGTTCACTTCCCCGTCTCCATTGTCCCCATGTACATTCACCATAACACCATGTTCACCATATTTACTTTCCACCATAAAAATACATCATCAAACATATCACATACAAATATATCATATATCATACATCAACCGTTCCCTGGCCCTCACAGTTATGATTCATTCAATTTAACCCTTGGTGACCACCCCAATACCCAGTCGTGCCTACTCCCCTGCCGACCTTCTCTCCGAAGCTGCCAACAATGCTCAGTGCCTTGTCCCCACAGCTCGCAACACATGTCACTTCAGTACCACATTTGCAAAACATGTCACATCAACTCATTTTCACCATAAGCACGCCTTCGTCTCAGCCGATTCAGGATCACCTATACAACGTCTTATCGCCACTTAATGCAGCAGCAGATGCACATCACGTGACAGTTGACAGGTGTTTCGAAAATCATTGGTGTTCTGGCCCTGCAATGTCAGTGTGCACTGCTCGACCGCTGGCAAGCTGAGCAAGCCCGATCAAGGTGCTTTCATGCCAAATCCATTTTGTCGTTCATGGACATGCAGATGGATCCCATCAGTCGGCTCGATGGTTACGGAGACATTGATCTTCAAGGGAGTCGACGTGCAGCTGCCATCGACACTGAAAGTGTACTGCCGATACAGCATGATCAGCACCAGCAGCATCTCCATGATGGCAAATTTCGACCCGAGGCACACCCTTGGACCTCCTCCAAATGGCATAAAGGCTTGGGGGTGGCGTTTCTGGCACTCGTCCGAGCCTGTGTCGAAACGCTCTGGTCTGAAGTTCTCCGGGTCGCCCCAGAGCTTGGCATCGTGGTGGAGCCAATGTATCGGGATGACGATCCCCGCCCCTTTGGGCACTCGCACCGTTCCCCCGAGATGGAAGTCTTGACTGGCCTTACGCGACAGCAATGGCACCACTGACAGCATGCGCATGGACTCGTTCAATGCCCATTCCAAGTATTGGTACCTCTCCAGGCCCTCGTAGGACGGTGGTTTCCTGTCATTTAGCCTGTCCACCTCTTCCAAGATCTTCTTCTCCACCTCTGGATGCTGTGCAACGTGGAAAAGGAAAATGGCGAGTGTGCCGGCAGTTGTCTCGTGTCCTGCCGCCAGGAACAGTCGGGAGTTGTGCAAGATCTGTTGGCCAGCAAACACGGAATGGATTAAATGCTGACTGGCTGACTGCTGGCAGCTTTGATGCAATGCAAACAGCCACTGCTGGAGCAGTTGGCGACTCCAGTCTGGATGTGGTGCAATCCATGTCTATTTGCAGCGCACATAGCACAACAAATCACTACCCTCCTAGCTGTTAGGCGACGTCACATTCTGTGCACACGTGCTGAAAGGATGCAATTGTCAACTCTTGATTGCAGGGGTTTTCGTTACTAACCTCGAGATCGTTGAGTGCACGCCCTGACTCCCTCTCCCTGGCTTCAATCATCAGCGTAATGAAGTCCTTCTTTGCCTTGTCTGCTATTGTGGGCTCCTTCCGCCGCTGGTTGACGATGCCCATGATGGTTTGGTTAACAAATTGAATACATCGTCTTATGGGTGCAGCCATGGGCATCCTGGGATGATTTCAGACAACAGACTCATCTTCATGGCAAGCATTGATCATAAGAACAAATAGTAGAATCGATCTCAAGCATGCTGTGGTTTTCACCACTGCAACCCTGACAGGCCAAGGTGGTTTTGAAGCATGTCATGAGTTGTTTCCTTTGCAGTGAGCACAGTGAAACCAACTATCCTATTTCCGTATGGGGTCATCTTGCACTATACCAATAACAGAGATCGCACTCTGGCATTTTGTATTTAAAATTACAGCTGGCAACGCTTTCCAATAGCAATAGCAGTGCTGTGCCACTGCTAGGCACACAGCACTGCAACAGTTGCACACCACAAAAATCTAGGAAATCTGCACCATACTCTGTGTCCTTGTGGTCCAGATCTTGACGTTTTATATCATGTCAGTCAGACCGCCAGCAGTAGCGGTGAGCATCATAGTGCCTCTTAATCAAGGAATACGCCAATCCGATAAGCTTGCGACATGCTAGGACTCAGAGAGAGTTTTGGCGATCCATGCAGCCTGATTGCCAACCACAGCACACTCAGGACTACCCATTGTTACCCGTGCCTGTCTCCCAATCTTGGATGTACTGCAAGTATTCAGTTCTAGCACTTGGAAAACAAATCTGCCCTGGGACACGGATGGAACACACACCAACACATGCATTATTTGCTGCTGACGATGGAGACAATATCACCTGTTTGCATGATTGAAATGCCTGGCGTGGAACTCATCAAAGCTGAAATCTACGAACTGAAGATGTTCCATGTGCTGGGAAATGAAACATGGCTGGACTTGTTGCCATCATTCATTTCAACGCAATGCAGTCCCCGTTGCGCATTCAAAATGGAGATCTTCACCTCCGGACTAGCAGCGGTGGAAATTGCAAGCCCATCGTTGCCAGGGCGCGCATCACCAGGAGCAACCTGCCGCCCTTGGGCACCAACGTCCTCATCTCGCGCAGAAGGTCTCGAAGCGCCACTCCAAACTCCCCCTCGTCGTTCCTCATCGTGTTGACCTCCACCCCGAAGGCCACCGTCCCAATTATGTCCAGCGTCAGCACCCTGAAGGCCTCAAGGACCTCCAGGCTCTGGCCCTCGCGCCCGTTGGCACCCAGCTGGCGAACCATCTCCTCCGCGCATTTCTCCACAACGCCCATGTACCCGGTGAGCTTGCCTGCCAGGCACACACTCCCGTGCTCAGACGTCGCACCCGTTACAAACGTTGTTGCTCCCAGTCCGATCTTCCTTGCCTGCTGGTCACACACTCCCGTGCTGAGACGTCACACCCGTTACAAACGTTGTTACTCCCAGCCCCATCTTCCCCGCAACGGAGCAGCGCGCCACCCATGAAACTGGCCGCGGAGACGCAGCATCCGTAGCAGCAACCCTACGGTCGCGCATGCGGACAAGTTGTGGCTGCGCGGGACGACAATCCAGCACCCTTACTCTTGAAGAAGATGGGCGCCGTCGAGTTGCGCAGGAACTTCCAGGGCGCGCCCTCCACGGCCACCATGTTGGGTGTCTTCAGCGCCATGCAGACCACACGGTCAGTGCGTTTCGGAGGCCATTCCGTTGCGGCAACGCCTCGCCACAAACAGCTACGTGACGACCCCGCGGCCTGGCGGGGCCAAAGGGCGCGGTCCAGCCGATCGGATCCCGCACACCTTTCCCTCGACGTTGTTGCTGATGAACCGCCCCGGAAAGGAAGACAGCGCCTTCAGGACCTGCCCCACGTGGTCCGGATCGTGGAGCATCACCATGGGCCTGCGCTTAAATGCCGAGCGTCAGCAAACGCGACGCTCGGGCAAATGGGAGGCCGATTTTTCCCCCGAGCGTCGGTCCGCAGATCAAGCCCGTCGCGGTGCTCGCACCAACTCGCCTGGACCCCAGGAAGAATTTCGCAACGTCGCCGTACTCGGATCGCCATCTCCTGGCGGCATCGAGCGAACCCGCCGGCCAGTAGGCGAGGCTACCGAAGAAGAGGTGGCTGGGGGCGCCCGGAAGGTGACGGACCTTCCAGCGGCCCACGGCGATCGAGAGCGCTATTTTGCAGAGGGCCAGGCAGAGTGCCCCCAGGCACGCGAGGCAAGCGGCCGCCCACAGCTCCATGGTAGCGACACGGTGGTAGCGGGCTGCGGGGCGGGGCCGCGGGGCCCTCGCTGCTGTAATGTCGCTGAAAACTGACGTCAGCAGTCCGTGGGGCCGGCCCCGATATCGCGCCCCC